GAACAAATATGTCACCTTGTCTAAATTAGTACAGTCAGTAATAACAATAGCATCAAACACAATTTAGGAAATGACAAACTGAGGTAACTATTACTTTGTCCCCTTAAACCAAAAAATTGTATACAGTACATATGCCCTCAGTATAATGATTTTACCTTCAGGAAGGAAAAAATATTTTTGTTTTTGGTACCAGGAAGTCAATTCAGAGCCTTGTGCCTTCCAGGCAGGCACTTATGCTGCTGAGTGATGCCCCCAGCTGGGGAAGAAAAATTTTAAGTGATTAGGGAGAAAACAGAGAAATAAAAGAAAAGGAAGTGATTAGAAGTAAGGCGGGAGAATAAAGGAAGTTTATGTGAATTTTGCTGAACTGGTGAAGAAGACAGGAGGTAGAGAGAGAAGGAAGAAACAAAAACAATTCAGAACTAAAACTAAATACAACTTTAACACATGTAAATACTAGAACAAAGAATCAAGAAAAAAGAAAACAAAACAAAAGAAAAGGAAAATAAAGGATGAAAATGTGCATTTCAGGACAGGTCTCTGCTGTCTCCGTTAGACATGTATAGGCAGGTAAAGCCCTGATCCATGTTAATTAATCCCAGCAAGCCAGCTGTGGGTAACAGCCATGCAGGGGTAACAGATAATCCTAGGATGCTGGCACCTTTAATGCCACTAAAATTCTGGCTGCTTTCTGGCTAGGATGCTGGAACCTGATATGTCCAGCCTCTAACACTCCATTTGTCTCCTGCTGCTTTGAACATGGCTCCGTGCCACTTGAGTTTCCCTTCTTGACTTCCTGCTCACTTGAACTCAGTTCCACCTCAGCCTGACATTCAGAGCTGCTAGATGGAGCCAACCTCTAGCTGCTCTGAGTTCTGAGCTCAACTGGCAGCTCTCCAGGATGGCTACTTACTAATGTTCTCTCCTGGGGGTGTCGGAACCCATATAACGAACCAGCCACTGCAGTTCACTGTGTGCACTTCTCTGTTCCACTGGTGCATTTCTCAATGTGGGATTGGTGGTAGTCACTCTGCATCTGCAGGTTCAAGCCACCCTTCTCACACAGTGATCAGGTCTAGAGAGGAATCCCCATTTGCCACCTTCTTCTTCTGCACTGAGGTCTCTCTCTTTGGTCTCCCTTTGGGCTTCAGTTTTCACTTCAGTTCCCTTCTGGGCTCCAGGGACACACTTCCGCCTTCTGTTCTTGGCAATACTATATTTCAGCATCTGGACACCAAATCTCAGACACACAGTTTCTCTGCTGCTCACCATTCTTCCATCTTCCCAGAAGTCTCCTGTGCACATTGCTTAAAGAGCCTTCAGCCCATGCGTTCCAAAGCAGAAACATCATGGTGGAAGGGAATGGCAGGTGAAAGCTTCTCAGTTCATGACACCCAGGAAGCAGAGAGCAGGGCAAGAGCTTCTCCCATGTATCTTTTTAGTTGCTTTTTCAAAGATCAGATGACCGAATGTGACTGAAGTTGTTTCCATGTTTTTTACTCTGTTCTGTTGGTCTCTGTGTTGAATTTTGTGCTACTCTCATGCTTCTTTCTTTTCTTTTCTTTTTTTATTTAAAGAGAAACAAATCAAAACAGTAAAAGGATACAAGAAATACAGAATTTCAAAAAAATAAACAGTAAGAAATCACTAGTTAATAAATTACATATTGTCATCTTATAAATAGTTGATCAATTTACAAAATTAAGCATTCAAAGTGGACATTCAAACAGTAACACTGCAAACAGTTGTGTTCAATGATCCAACAAAAACTTAGTAATATGGTCATCTATCTTACACACCAAAACACACTTGTTGTGTCCTTTAGAGCAATTTCTTTTCCTCTCAGTTTTACAATAACATTTAAACATTTTGGGTTTTATTACTCCCACAGTTCTTACTACTTTTTTTGGAAGAGAATAAAACCAAGTGTGACACAACAAAGCAGAGTCAGTCAAAACAAAGGATGGACATAGTACATGATGTAAAAACAGAATACAAGGTAATCAACAAGGTTACCATAACGCCCCTTGCTACCTTAAAAAGAATTGCCTGTATCATCAGGTATAATAAAGTTGAACTTAACAGTACAGAACAAAACCAATAAAACCTAAATATTGGAGACATTACTGAACTTCAAAGAAGATAATAGTCAAACCAGAGTGAGCATCATAGTGCATCTTATTGCCTTCAAAGTGGTTGCCCATACCCTCAAAATTGATAATATAAACAGAACAGAATAAGGTAAAATCACTCAAAACAAGATGGTGAGAGCAATACAGGGCTCCAAATTGAGTTAATAGGAAATCAAAAAAGTTACTGTAATATATCCTGCTAATTTTTAAAATTTTTTCCCTTAATTAAAAATAATAATAAAAAAATAAAATGAATTTTTTTAAAAAGGGGGGAGATTGAGATAAAAGAGGATGTAACAGCATAACAGTACAGGTCAGAACAGAACAATTAAAGCAACATAGGGTTTCAACACAATATAACCTGACTTAATCGTAGTTACCATAGTGTCTCTTTCCTTGAAATATTTGAATATAACTTCGTATACCATAGCATCAAACATGTTAAGACAGTGTGAAAACATTCAGGAGGATGAAAGTATTACAAGGTATTCAGAGCCAGCTAACAGAAAACAAACAATGGTTTCTATATCATCTCTTTGCCTATAAAAAGTTTTGTTTATACTATTATATATAATAAAATCTAATAAGATACATGATAAAAGCAATGGAGACAGAAGAACAACAATTTGATGGGACCTCAAAACAAGATGATACTAAATCAGCACTAGCTAATGTGGCTTCTTTGTTTTTGTTGCTAGAGTTTCCTTGTATAACCTGACATTTAGGATTGTAATGCTTCTTACTTTGCTCTTTTTCTTCTGAATTGTTTTGGTTCTTCTGGTTTCATATAAGTTTTAAGATTGTTTTTTCCTAGTTCTTTAAAGAATGTAGATGGTATTTCTTTTAAAGAACTGCATTAAATATACATGTTATATTTTGTAATATGGCCATTTTGGTTAGTGATTCTGCCTATCTTTGTAGATACTACTGTTTTTCTTTGTCTCTTTATTCAGAATACTACAGTTTTCATCATAGAGACCTTTTCTTTTATGGGTTATATTGATTATAATGATTTAATTTTTATGATATCAAAATTGGGATTCTTTCCCTGATTTCTTTTTCCTTGGGTTCATTATTGTTGTATATAAATGCTCTTTAAATAACTTTGAAAAAATAAATAAATTACTAAAATAAAATCAAATAAAATGCCTATTAAGCCTAAAAATAATAAATAAAATTTAGCCCAAAGAGACTGGACCATGAGCAAAAATAAATAAGTAAATGGATGAATGTTATTTGTATTGATATGTGTCCCGTCACTTCTGTGAATGTGTTTATTAGCACTGAGATAATTTAATTCGTTCCTATTCATAGACCAATATGGTCATGATTTGCATTCTGTTTGCTAGTATCTTGTTAAGGATTTTTGCATCAAGTTTGGACAAGATATTGGTTAGTCAACATGGCTTTTCTGTGTTGTGTCTAGTTTTGCAGGGTCATGCTGCCTTCGGAGTGAGTTGGAAGTACTTCTTCCTTTCATGGAAGAGTGTGGGAATGTAGGCCTTAGCTTTTCCGAAGGTCTGATTTAATTCAGTGTTGAATCTGTCAGGTTCTGGGGTTTGTTTTCATTGGTAGAATATTTATTACTGCATCAATTTTTGCCTGTTACTGGTCTCCTAGGATTTTCATATTTTCTTGGGTCTTTTTTTAATAAGTAATATGTGTGTAGGTTAAATACTTAACTTCCAGGTTTCCAATGTAGGACAATATAAGTTTTCAAAATAAAATTTTTGCATAATTTACTGAATTTCAGTTGTGTCTTCTGTGACTTCATCTTTTTAATTTGTAATCACTGTGGTGTGTGTCTCTTCCTCCCCTTTTTGGATAAGTTTGGCAACTTCCAACCCATTCATTCATTCATTGTATTTCTGCATTCTTAATTTCATTGATTTTCACTAGAATCTTTATAAATACTTCCACCAACAGGTTTTGGATATGAATCACTCTTGCTTTTCTAGTACTATTCTAGTTATTATTTGGGATCAGCCCATTTTTCTCAGTCAGCACCCCATTTTTCTCTTTGACATCTTGTCTGGTTGCCTTGTCTCCTTGTGATGGGGATTTTGAAGCCCCTCATTGTAATTATAATAGTCTCCATGTACCTTTGCATGTCAAGCAGTTTTTGCTTTATGAAATTGTGTCATGGGCATTTAGTTCATTAATAACTATAGCTATTGTCTGTCTCTGTGAGTTGACGTTATTAACAGTATGTATGGATCTTGTTTCTTCTTAATCCAATGGCTTTTGTTTTGCCATTATTTGTGTTGTGTTGAGATATGGTCTTGCTCTGTAGTTCAGGTTGTCTTTGAATTCCCTGTGTAACCCAGGTTGACCTTGAACTTGTAGCAATCATCCTGTCTTGGCCTCCTGAATGCTAAGATCACAGGCTGTGACACCAATACTGGCTCTGCCATAACCTCCTTCGGTCTTGTGATCAGTTTTGGTTTGAAGTTCACTCTGCGAGGGGTCAGAGTAGCTATTGCTACAAGTTTTGGGGCTTTGGCTGCAGGAAATATGGTTTTCCATCTTTTCAATCTCAGTTAAAGTGTGTTTCTGTGGATGAGGTATGCCTCTTGCAGTCATCATGGTGGTGGGCTTTGATTTTCATTCAAATTTTGATCTGTGTCTTGCCCTTGAGCTTCTGAAGCTATGATGGTCTTTAGACTCTGCTTTGACTTGGTCAAATACCTTCCCCTCTTGCCAGGACTGAGGGTGGGAATGGACTGTGGTTGTTAGAGGAGCAAGTCTGGGAGAAAGTCCAAGCCAGACAAGGGAACTGGCTTGTCTCACCCCTATTTCTCATGTAGACTTGTGAACAGCTGGTTTCTGATTTTTGGTCTATTTTCTGTGCTCTGGAACTCCCCACAGGTCAGCTATGCATCCACTCTGCCCAGCCTCAGTGACAAGAACCAGTTCCCATCCTTTCTGCGCACCCGAGCCAGTGACCTCACAACCTCCTACGCCATGACCCAGTTGGTGCTGCACTTGGGATGGTCCTGGGTGGGCATTCTCGCCCAGGATGATGACTTTGGGCAGCAGGCTGGCAATCTAGCCAGGGAGGAGCTGAGTCAGGCAGGTGTTTGCATCGAGTTCCACCTACACATCCCTTCCCGTCAATCCCCTGAGAAGATTGATGCCAATGTGCGGAAGATGGAGAAGAGCACAGCCACGGGGGTCCTGGTCTTCCTGAGTAATTCTAATATTCAGCTCATCCTCCATAGGCTGGTAGGCAACCGTGTCCTTGGCCAGGTCTGGGTCAGTGAGACCCTTGTGCACACAGTGATCGCCCTGGCCACGCCTGGTGCCTCCTGGGTTTTGCAGGGTGCATTTGGTCTTAAGCTACGCAGTAGCCATGCACATGGACTCTCAGAGTTCTTTGCCCACCTGCACCCCAGCCGGACCCCAGAGGACATGTTCTTGAGGAGGTTTTGGGAAGCCACCTTTGGGTGCAGGTGGCCACATAGTAATGACACTGAACCAAGTGACATGCAGCTCTGCTCAGGTAATGAGACTCTGAGAGACCACGAGTACCCTTTCCAGGAAGTGAGTAGATTGGAGGCCGCATATCCAGCTGTCTACAGCATTGCCCATGCCCTGCAGGACATGGTGCTCTGTGAGAATGAGAACAGGGAATGTGGAGATCCTGTACACTTCCAGCCTTGGCAGGTGAATAGGGTCACAGGGAAGGGAGAGAACCAACATCCTTGGTGCAGCCATGGCAAAAAATGGCACCCTTGGGCCGATTCCTGGGGCTACAGCCCAGAGGTGTCTGACATGAGCACTGCACCAGGAGTCCCAAAGCCATACTGGCTCTGTGGGCTCAGATGTACTCTATTTCTATGGTGTGGTTCCATTGAGCACATCCCAGATGCCTCCTGACATTCAAATTTCAGAATTACTGTGAGAAGTTTTGGGTGTGGATCCCAAGTTTGAGATTTGAACCAATAACTGATTTATAATAAGTGCATGATTCATATTTGTCCTTAAGATAAATAGCAAAGAGCTTTTAGTGTGTGTCTCTCACGTGCATGAGATATGCTGTTACTAACAAGTTTTCCTTACAGTTCCATGGATTAGCTCAGCCATGTGCTTCCAAGGCTCTAGGCCCACTGCTCATTTTTTGTTTTATTTGAAATAGGATGTAGCCAAGTCTTTGGAAAGCCAAGAATCTTTCCAGGTCTTCTTCTCTTCTTGGCAGTGTCAAGCTTCACTCCACACCATTGCTGCTCGGGAGACCCAGGCTGTGTGCACAAAGGTGTTGTTTGGCCCACCTTGATCTCTGGGTCTTGAGGATGACCCCCTGCTAAACCTGTTCTTTCCAGGAGGCCTCTCCACTACAGATAACCATGTCCCTCCCCTGACCTCCTGGTCCTTCATGCTCCTGTCCAGTCAGGGTTTTCCCTGTTGCTGCTCCAAGCCAGTGTATCCAGAGGGATGCTTCAGTAGACCCTTGCAGTGTCTTGAGAGGAAGGCCCCACAGGTGAAGTTTTCTATGAGTTCTTTCTACAGAACTCAGAGATGGGGTGACCACTTGAGATTGATAAGTGAGCTACTAGCCTGAGGGAAGCCACGTAAATTTCTGTAAGGCTCTGTGTTTTTATTTTTTGAAAAGGAAGAAACAAACTTCTCTTTATTCACATATGATATGGACACAGGTTCCTAAAATGCTATTATGTCTAAAGAAAAATTTCTAGAATGAACAAATTGAATTTAGCAAAGATGTTTAGACACAAGATTAATAGGAAAAGTAGGTAAGTTTGATATGTTTGGAATAATCAATTAAGGAATTAATATTATTACATATAATAGAATAGGATAACTTCAAATATCCAGGAAAAAAATTAATCAAAGACATGCAAGACTGCTATAATTACAAACTACAACATATTGAAAAGAGAAAACTTAAAAGATCTAACTAAAAAGAGACAACATTTCAGAGATGGGAAGACTCAAAGTTGCTATGATGTCATTCTTATCAGAGTGATCCATGAATTTGAGACAATTCCATAAAATATCAACAGGCTTTTTTAATAGTATCTTTTTAAAAACTTCATTTTATTGATAATACACATATATAATGATGGCATACATCATAGGGAATTTGTACATAATATATCTTGATTCTTTTTGCCCCCAACCATCTCTCCTCTCTTCAATTTCCCTCCTCTCCTTTATTTACAAAATCTTAGTTTCCAATTTCTTCCTTCTATTTTCTTTTCCCTTCCTTTTTATTCTCCTTCTGCCTCCCCAGTTCTCCTTCCCACTTGGACATTTCCTTCCCTTTTCTCAATATCTATTATAAATTTTGGTGGTTATTTACACTTTGGTTTTCTCACGCCAGAAAAACAGTGCAACTTGTGAACAGGTGTGTTCAATTTATCTCACTTAAAGGAATATCTCAAAGTGCATTCATTTACCTAGAAATGTCTCAAGCTTATCTTTCTCTGTGGCTGAGTAGTTCTCCGTTGTATTAACTCCCCTCCCCCATATTTTCTATATCCATTCATCAAGTGGTGGGCTCTACATTAGGTATTATAAACTGTGCTGCTGTAGTCATGAGTGTGTATCTTTCACTGTGGTATGATGCTCTGAATTCTTTTAGGAAGATACGAAGAAGGGGAATAGCTGGGTCAAATGGAACCTCTAGTTTTAGTTTTTTAAAGCAGTCTCCACACTGATTTCCACCGTAGGTGCCTCAGTCTACACTACCACCAACAATGGGTAGGGCTTCCTTTTCCCCACAGCCCCAGTAGTATTTGTCACTGGTTGACTTATTGATTATAGCCATTCTTTCTGGAGTGAGGTGATGTTAAATTGTTTTCATATATTTATTTGCGGTTTCTACTTCTTCATTTGAGAAGTCTCATTTCATTTCAGATACCAGTTTTGATTGGGTCTTTAAATTTGGGAAGTCTGATTTTTTGAGGTCTTTATATATTTTTATCTGAAAAATAGACGTCCATTTTTCTCATTCTGTGTGTTGTCTCTTCATTGTGTTGGTGGTTTCTTTTGCTGTGCAAAAGCTTTTTAACATGAAGAGATCCCAGTTTCTGGTATTTCTTGTGAGATAGAGTTTTTATTCTTAATAACTTTGCCTATACCCTTGTCTTCAAAAGTTCTATCCATTCTCTCTTCCAGCCAATTTAGTGTTTCTGTTTTGATGTTTAGATCTTTGGTCCATTTCAATTTTGGTGTAGAGCCTGGTGAAAGATATGGGTCTAGATTTAAACTTTGGCATGTGGAAAACCAGTTTTTCCAGCAAACAGGCTATCTCTTTTCCAGTGAAGTTGCTAGATTCCCTTGACAAATATAAGGTGGTTGAGGGTGTTTGGACTTGTTTCTGTATCTTTTAATCTGTTACATTTATTCTCAGGTCTTTTTTTACCAGTACTATGTTGCTTTTATCATGGAGTTTTGTAGTATAATTTCAAGTCGGTGATTGTGATGCTGTTTGCCTTACCTTCATTGCCCTGAACTGCTTTTGCTCTTCTAGGACTCTTCTGGTTCCTAAGGAATTTTAGGATTGTTTTCTCTACTTCAGTGGAGTATGCTATCGGTACTTTGAATGGGGCTGCATTAACAATTTGAGGAGTATGGCCATTTTCACTATATTGGTTATTCCTACTCAGATCAAGCAATGTCGTTACATATTGTGGTATCTTGTGTGATCTCTTTTTCTGCATACTGTAGTTTTCTATGCAAAGTTCTTTTATTTTGTTTTTAGATTATTTCCTAAGTATTTCACTTTTTATGCCATTGTAAAAAGTGTGGTTTCTCTAATTCCTCTCTCAGGGGCTTTGTTATTTGCATACAGGCATGGTATTGAATTTCAAGGTTGATTTTGTGTCCAGCTACATGACTGAATTTAGTTATTAAGCCTCGAAATCTTCTGATGGAGTTCTTGGAGTCTTCTGTGTAGAGTATCATGTCATCCACAAATAATGATAATTTAAATTGTCCTTTGCAATTTTCATTCATTTTCTTTCTCTTGTCTAATTGTTCTAGTTAATGTTTCCAAAACTCTATTGAATAAGAGTGGTGATATTGGACAGGCTTTTCTTTTTCCCTGAATTTAAAGTGAAAGTTTCCAGTTTTTGAACATTTAGAAAAATGTTGAGCTATTGGTCTGTCATAGATGGCTTTTATTAAATTGCAATAATGATTTTCTACTCCAGTTCTCTGTAGAGGTTTTATCACGGGGTTGGTGGACTTGGTCAAATGCTCTTTGTGCATGTGTTAATATGATCCTATGGGTTTTTTTCCTTGGTTCTGTTAATGTAGTAGTGTCACGTACTGATTTTCATACATTGAGCTACCCCTGCATCCCTGAGGTGAATCCTACTTTGTCATGGTGTGTACTCTGCTTGATGATATGCTGTGTATGTTTAATGCTTGGATTCTAAATTCCTCCCCAGTTGGTGATGCCTGATGACTCTGACATGCTGCTATCCAATGGATGGCAAAACAGGGAGGCTGTGAAGAACATCTTCCCCACCAAGGCACAGCACAAGTGGATATCCTCTGCCTTGAGTGGAGAGCTGTCTCCTGGGGAAGTGCTGCCGGAGGTCAGGGAAGAGGCTGAGGAAGAACAGAGTGCTGTTGTGACCTCCACTCTGATTCAGGGACCTCTTGTGGTTGGAGACTGAGAATACATGTGGCTCGGAATGGATGGACACTGAGGATGCTGGATGCAGGGCAGGGTAGAGAGTTTAGAAACCCACAAAGATGTTATGTCTGCACATTGCAAGGTGGATGGTGGAGTGCGGAATGAGTGGTGGGAACAAGACAGATCTCAAGGAGGATGGATCTGAGATTCAGCTTGCAGTGTAAACTGCTGCCATGGCTGGAGAGTGGTTGCCTCAGGGGTTCCTGTTACAAGGCCCTGCAAAGGAAAAGAACCAATGTAGGGCTGAAATTGGGCTAGAGATAGGGGCTGGATTGTGCTGGGAGTGCAGAGGGCAGGGAGTTACGTGGATGCCACCTGTGGAGGAGGCATTGAACTTGGGATAGAACAGGAAGCCAAGGATGGGACACCATAGCCATAGTAGCCCTGGGTTCCTGCTTCCATGGAACAGATAATGAAAATTTAATTAATAACTCTCTTGAAAAGATAAGTATGATCTTATTTACTGCTAAATATGGCTCATTTTTAAAATGTTCTTTGATTCTACCGGAAGTTAAAGGTGGAGCATTTTCCTGGGCCCCTGAAGTTCATGTGCCTAATGGACCGGGTGGACTGGAATTCCACTTGCCATCCCAAGCCAGGGCCTTGGCCAGGCTACATGTCACCCTCCTTCCCCAGCTCCTCCACCCCCTCAGGAAAGTGAGCTTCCAGACCCCTGATGGTACCCACATCATGTTCGATGCCAATGGAGATTTGGTGACAAAATTTGATGTTCTCCAAGGGCAGTGGAGTCCAGAGGGCCAGTTCCACTTTGTTCACATTGGAAAGATGGATCCTCATCCATCTTTGGAGAACAGAATGATGATCCTCTTGAAGGACAGTATCCAGGTATGTCTGATGAGTGCACGGAGAGACTCAGGCCTCAACCTTGGAGTGGGGGAAATTCAGTTTCAAGGAGCTTGTCTCTGGAGCCATGAAATGGGTGTGGTTATAAATCAGGTCACCTGTGGTTCAGCCATGCTGTTTGTCCAAAGTAGACTTTTGTAAGGATTAAAAGGCATTTAGTCCTCATGAATGCCAATGATTTTTATTGATCTGTGTGTAGTGTTGCACACCTTTCATTCCACCTTCTCAAGAAACTGAGACAGGAGAATTTTAAGTTTCAGGCCCTTCCTGGTGACTTATTGAGAACTTTTTCCAAAATGAAAAATGAAGAAACATGGCTGGTGATGTCACCAGGTGAGAAAGCTCTTGGTTCACTCTTTGTAGAGAGGGAGGATATGAAGAAAGAAAGAAAGAAAGAAAGAAAGAAAGAAAGAAAGAAAGAAAGAAAGAAAGAAAAGAAAGAAAGAGTACCACACCAGTGTAGTGAATTGGGGCAGTGGTGATCTTTGATTCTTTTTCTCCACCTCGGTCTCAGAGTCAGGCTAATGAGGATCTGGGAGGCCACAACTCTTCACTACACCTGTCCCAGGCAGCACTGTATGACAGGGCTGGCCTCTTCCATGACCCAGTGCCACATGTTCCCACTATTGGCAGTGATGTTTAGGGCTGTTCTGACTCAGGAGTCACTTCAGTCACCTTCTGTGCAGCCTGGACTGGCTCTATCCCTGTAGCATCTCCATCATGGTGCCCCAGCATTTCATAGGAGATATGAGTTCCATTCTTGACTTCTTCCTGCAGGGATACAGCTCCATATTCAATGGACTTGTGAGCTTTTCTGTGGGTTGGAGGTGGGGTTCCTATTTCCTTTTTTTTTTTCATTGTTTTGGTTTTTAGAGACCAAGGTGTCATTCCGTAGTCCATGCTGGCCTTGAATTCATTATGTAGCCCAGGATGGCCTTGAACTCATGGAGATCCTCCTCTGTGTGCCTTCCAAATACCAGGATTACAGACACCCACACTATGCCCAGCTTCCTGCTTCCTTTAGAGGAACACAGCACCCATTCTTCTCTCCATGTGTCTGTACCCAGTCCTTCTACTCTGTTGTTCTCTAGAGATTGGGACTGGGCAGAGAAGGGATAAACATGGCTGTACAGATCCCTGTGCTGCAGGAGACTTGGCATATCTGTGCATGAGATGATGTGGGGCAGGCACTAGGGATTCCAGATATGGGACCCAACAGCAATGGGAGGGGCCCTGTGCACAGGGTTTTCTGAATATCCTCAACCCCCAGGAAGCCACATGCATCCTCTGGACCAGGAGCCCAGTCTTCTCATGATTACTCCTTCTGCAAATGGGTCCTGAGAGCAGACAGGACACTTTCCCTGCACAATGGCTGGTGCAGAGAAAAGAACTCCTCTCTGCTGCGTCAAGATTTCTTGGGCCCTGTGCCAATAAGGTCTCTACTGACCCACTGTATATTGCCTGCCCTCAGGTGCCCAGCTCTGTCTGCAGCACCAGCTGTGAACCAGGATCCAGCCAGATCCCCCAACAGGGAGCCCCTCACTGCTGCTTTGAGTGCCAGCCCTGCCCAGAGGGACAGTTTGCAGACCAGAAAGGTAAGTAGACAGCTGCATTCTACTGCATCAAGCATAATCTTGGATGACCACTCACATAAGAGGGTACAAGATCTGCATTCTCTGGGAACTTTGGGTGAATAAAACCATTGTCAGTTGTGCTCAGGAAAATGTGGTGGAGATGGCATCCCAAAGAACCCTCCCCTCATGTGCACTCATCTCTATTTGGCCTACAGCAGGGTGACCCAGTTCCCCACATCCTGACCTTTGGTTTAACCTACCATCCTTGGAGGCCTCAGTGAGATTCTTGTCATCTCATGATGTCTTCTGCTTTCCATTTGTGTGATGTCCCTTCCCATGGGTGTATGGTAATTAACCTCACCACCCAGGCTCCTTTTGTCATGCAAATACAATTCCTCCCAGCTCTGAAAGTAGAAGTCTGAGCTTTGTTTCAGCAGGATGGGATTTTTGAGTCCTGTCTCCTGGGTTTGTATGTATGTCTTCCTGGGATCCCAGTCCCTTCTCCTCCAGAGGGGCCCAGGCATGTGGGATTATGCCCTATTTAGGAACTCACTGAACCTTAATTAGTTCACATCCAATTTTCCTATGTGCATTTACAAACACCTTCTTATGTTCTGGAGATTAAGACTTAGACAAATTAGTTCTAAAGATACAATGTGACCCAGACACCTTTAATAAAGCAATTACCAAACTTCCAGCCCAGCCATTTGACATAGTGACTTTGGGAGACTGTGTCAAAAGAAGATCTAATAAGTGGGCTGAGAATGTAGCTCAGCACAAAGGCTTTGAGCTTGATCTCTTGCAAAAGCATAAAATTATTTTAAAACTCCACAAATACATAGGAACAACATTTTTCCAACTGCCAGTGACTCTATGCCCATCTTATTTTATGGATGATTAAGAATAATCCATAAATGTGGCACTACCTCTCTCTTGTACACTGCTTATGTAAAAGGGACATGCCCAACATGGTTCTGTGTGTCTCCCACAGACATGAAGAGCTGCCTTCAGTGCCCTGAGGAGCAGTACTCAAGCCAGAGCAAAGACTACTGCCTTCCCAGGACAGAGACCTTCCTGGCCTTTGATGAGCCCCTGGGCCTTGTGCTCACAGTAGTGTCACTGTCACTGGCCAGCTTGGCATGCCTAGTCCTCGGGGTGTTCCTGTGGTTCCAGCAAACACCAGTGGTCAGGGCCAATAACAGAGCCCTCAGCTATGTGCTCCTGGTCTCCCTGACCCTCTGTGCCCTGAGTACCTTGCTATTCCTTGGCCGTCCCTCACCTACCACTTGCCTCCTGCGCCAGATCACCTTTGCTGTGGTGTTCACTGTGGCTGTGTCGTGTGTCCTGGCCAAGACCCTCACTGTGGTCCTGGCCTTCAGGGCCACTAAGCCAGGACAGAGAGTCCACATGTGCCTAGGGCCCAGTGCCTCCTCCTTTGTGGTGCTGGTTGCCTCTCTAGTACAGATCATTCTCTGTGGGATCTGGCTGGGTACCTCCCCACCATTCCCACACAGAGACACAGCCTCAGAGCCTGGCCACCTTGTGCTCCAGTGTCACGAGGGTTCTGGCATTGCTTTCTCCTGTGTGCTGGGTTACCTGGGCCTCCTGGCAATAGGAACCTTCTCTGTGGCCTTCCTGGCCCGGGGCCTGCCAGATACCTTCAACGAGACCAAGTTTCTCACTTTCAGCATGCTGTTGTTCTGCAGCGTCTGGACAGCTTTCTTGCCCCTATACTTCAGTGCACGGGGCAAGGCCACAGTAGCTGTGGAGGTCTTCTCCATCCTGGCCTCTACTGCAGGGCTGCTGGGTGGCATTTTCTTCCCCAAGTGCTACCTCATCCTGCTGAAACCTGAAAGGAATACTCCACCGAGTTTGAGAACTGGACCCTGGGCTCAAAGGGACTTGGGAAGGGGAGTCCCTCCAGGCCATCCCCACAGCACCATTTCAGCTAGGCCTCCCAGTCAGCAGCAGGATCCTGGCTCTCAATTCTTGGTTCCTGCGTTGACTACATGATAGTGAGTAAGTCATTCTGCATCCATGAATTGATACACGGATAAAAAAAGGTGATCTCTTCAAGCATTAAATGGTATTTGTGGTGGAGGAGAAAGTACTAGTCCATAATGCAGCATGGGGAACCTTAGAACCACTGTGCTGAGAGAAGGCAGCCAAATGAAGAGCATTGAGTGATGCTAGATCCCAGGCCTCAAAATTTCCCAGAAGGGGCAAATTCAGGGGACCCAGTGTAGAGTATATTTTCCTGCTGTTTGGATGGCAGATTGCCAGTTCCAGTAATGACTAAGGGGATGACAAGGTTATCAGACTGATTTTGATGATGGTGGTCCAATTGTATAAAGATAGTTAAAACTATTAAACTTCATACTTTAGGTGATCAGTTGTACATTATATGAATTATATTTCAAAAATGTTAGTGTTTTATAAAAGGAAAATAATTACCAATTACAAAGTTTGGCCTTTATCTCTAATTTTTGTGATATTTTGACAATAAAAATAATTTAACAACCATTGATAGCAAAATCTGCTAAATTCAAAAACTAAGAATCATGAACAACAGAAAAGAATACCGCAATTATATCATAACTTTAAATAAATATCTGACAATTATAAAACCCAATATGAATAATAGTAGAGATGAATTGGGTAAGGAATAGATGAGTGAATGAGGCAAAATTTGAAACATATAAAGGAACAAAGGAATAAAGTGTGGAATGTGAAATTAAAGGCTTCTACTAAGAAGTAACAAAATTAATAGGTTCAGATAAAAGCAACAGAATGGACAAACAAAAGAGAGAAAAAACAGCCAAATAAGAAAAAAGTAGAAGAAACATTACACAGTTTAAAAGGAGGCAAAAAGGGAAATCTGGAACATTGGTGGATCACTAAGCAGCAAAGTGAAGAGCCTCTATGAGAAAAACAGCTCAGATGCGGTAATATAGCTTCCTGAAGAAGATCAGATGGGAGGAGATGGATCCTCTCAACCCAGAAAGAAACTAAATGGGAAAAAAGAAAGAAAAAATGGATAAGAAATGCATGGACAAAGGCTATAGCCCAATTCAGTCTCCCCAGAGCTGGGCCCACTGTGCATGAAATGTTTCTAGAATTCAAAGATGTGCGGTCCAGGTGAAGTTGTGGGTTGGCAAGTACAAAGGCCTTGGTGGGAGGATGTGGTCACCAAGGAGAGTGGCAGAGTGGAGAACAACACTGTCTTGGAGATCTGCATCATCTGCGGATGAGTGTGGGTAGAAAACTCAGTCTTCTTATGGGAGTGGGTGATTGGTCAGGTGACATTTTGGAGTATGGCTTGATAAGCCTGGAATCAGAACTGCAGTGACTTCAGTCAGCCACTTCTAGCACCGAGCAGGTTGGTAAGCATTGCTTGGACTGAGTCCTGCCTCTGTGTGTGATCCAATAGCCAAGGATGAGGTTTCTCTGAAGCTATCCCTGGTCACCCCATCTGCAAGGCACGCAATAATGTGATGAAGACAACCAGTGGTTGATCAGCTCAGAAGGGAGAGGCCAGCCGGCCCCACCCCTTCTTGTACTTCAATGGTTGTCAGCAGACAGGGGAGGGCATCTATCTCCTGCCAGCATGTTTCAGAGTAATGGTAACCAATACAGCACATGCCAGGGACCCACTACTCACTTGTCTGGAATAAACCAGAAACATGACAAGAAAAAGAAACAAAAGGATATTGCCAACCACCAACCGAAATACTACTGGCCCAAGAGAGGTGAGCACAGAAGAGATCTGGAGTTGCACACCTATAGTTTCTCAAGAAGTAGCATCTGACATAAAGAAATATCTTTGTGACATTTTAAATGAACTCAAAACAGAAATACTAATATAAGTAAAGGAAGATATAGGAAAAATAATAAAAGAAATGCTATACATCTCTCGAGAAGACACAGATGGAAGAATAGAAGAGTATAGAAAAAGAATAGAAACCTTTGATGAAGAGTGTAAAAAGAATCAAGACTATGTGAAACATATTCAAAGAGTTTACCAGGAAATTAAAACTCCATTGAAAGCTGGAAAAACTGCTTGAAAGAAACTAAAGATAGACCATCAAACCTTGAAGACAGGTTTGCAACATGTGATCATGAAAGGAAAGATCTCTTACAAATAACAAGGAGTCAGGAAGTAATAATACAAAGGCTAGAAGATGACAAGAGTATCTATAACTTAAGAATAAAATATGTGAGTGAAGAAGCAGGGGTAGACACAAATGAAACACAAAGGCTATTTACAGAAATACTGAAAGAAAACTTCCCAAGCATAAGAAAAAGAAATGATACTCAGATATAAGAGGCATACAAAACTTCAGTCAGTTATAACCAAAATAAATCTACAACTAGACAAATAATAATAAAGATGCCAGAAACTCAACACAAGAACAGAATATTAAAAGCTATGAGAGAAAAGAAACTGATCACCTATAAAGGAAAACCCATCAGAATCACAATAAACTTCTCAACATAAACCATCAAAACAAGAAGAACTTGGAGCAAAGTATTCAAAGCCCTGAAAGAAAATATTCTCCAACCCAGATTGATGTGCTCTGCAAAACTATCTCTCAAAATTAATGGAGATACAAGATGGTTCCATGACAAAGTAGAACTAGGGGAATTCCTGACCACCAAACCAACCCTACAAAAAATACTGAAGAACATTCTAGAGAGACAGAAAAAAGACCATGGTTTCAGGAACAGCTGCAAAGGGGGCTCACTGAACGGGGCAGACAGTGGGATGAAGGTGAAAAATAGACAACCATGGCAGAAAAATAGCATGGCAGAGATGAGGCAGAGAAGGTTGGCCATAATCACTAACCTAAATGTCCTTGATCTACTAATAAAAAGAAACACAGAAAGAGTGGATCACAAGATAGTGTCCATCAAGATGCTCAATATAAGAAATATAATTAACCTGAAACAGGGTTTATGGACTGAAGGTTAAAGATGAGAAAATAATACTCTATGTGACAGAGAACTAGAAAAAAATGTGGTAGCTCACCCATCAGCTTCAGATTGGTTGGAATGACATAACACTTTTATACAACTCAGCTATAAGAAAGGAAAACCTTGAGGCTCTTGGAGGTAAGTGGATACAACTTGAGATCATGCTCAGGGATAAAAAGCTTCAGAATCATTTAAGTGGATTGCCTCCCTAATCTAAAACCTAAAGAAGTTAGTGGGATCCAAAATGTACAACACACCCTTTCAAAGTGAAAAGGGAGGAATTGTTTAAAAGAGAAGGCAGTGGACATTGTTAATCTATTATCATGATTTAAAACCCATACTGTTTTCATCGCCCTGTTTAGTTTGGTTGTATTCTGTTCCAGTTTGTCTACTTGTACTAGATTTGATGGCATGGACAGCTATTCCAAAGACAGTAGGGTATAATCTGAATCCCTATGTTGGTTTCATTGTCTTGTTTTGACTGATTTTATTTGAATCTGTTTTGTTTGATTGCTGTATTGTCTTAAATGATTTTATTTGAATCTGTTATGTTTGATAGTATGAAGTCTGGGCACATAGGCAACTAATCTGAAGACAATAAGATTCACTATGATTCCCATTCTAGTTTGACTCTTACCCTCTTTTGAAGTCCTATAAGTCTCCAACATTTTGTTTTGATTGATTGTGTTCTGTATTTCTGTGTTCAATTTTACTGTGAAATGGGCAATTCTATTGAAGATAACCCTTTTATTATTTTCAAAATAAGGAAGAAAAAAGAGGAAAACTCTATTATACTGCAAAATCAATCAGAAAAAAGGAACAAGCATGGTTTTAAAAAACTCCACATGTTGAGCCAGGCATGTTGGTGCATGTCAGTCATTTTAGCACTTGAGAGGCTGAGGTAGGAGAATTGTTGCAAGTTCTATACCAGTGTATATTACAAAGTGAGGTTAAGATCAGCCTGAACTACATTGTGAGATTGTGTCTTGAAAAGACCAAAAAAAATTTCCTACATGTCGTAGGGCAACACCAGAAACTGAAGTCATGCTGTATTTTAGGCTTGAACAACCCCTTCTCAAAATCAATTCTGTCTTGATTACTTTTATCTCATTTATCGGACAAAATATCCAACAGCCCAAGTAAAGGGAGGAAAAGTTCATTTAGCTTACAGTTTGTGGAGGGTTCAGTCCATATTCTGCTGGCTGAATATGGCAGGGTGGTATCACACCATGGCAGCAGCCATGCAAAAGCAGCCAAAGCAAAATGGGGAAGAATAAGCCTCTTTTTCTCCTTTATGTTATTCACAGACTACTCCCTTCCAGGGCTGGTGTAGCACTCCCAGAATCTCTATGCCCCCTCTTGCACAAGATGAAGACATTTACAAGTAAGGATCTTGGCTTCCAGCTGAGTCTGTTAGGTAAACTTGTAAGTTTCTGAAGTTGACACAATGCATCAAGCATAACAATTTCTAATTAAATACCCTCTAATATGGCAGGTGATGGACTGGATCTCTTCTCTAACTCCAGGCTGCTATGAAGTAGGAGTCCCTTTCAGAATAAAACCCCATGCTATTTTGCAGTTTACAATTGACAAAAGGTCTGAGCTATTTGCAGGGCCTGTACTGCACAATGCAGCCAAATCCTGTTTCAAAAAAGCAAACACAAAATTTTAAAAATTAAAAAATAGAAAATTTTTATGTGAAACACATTTAAAATATTTAAAATAAAGTAAATATGAAAGTTGATAAGTCCAGTTTGTAAGTGAATTCGGGGTTTGTAAGTAGACTGGGTAGCCTAGAACAGCTGGGGTTCACTGTGGGTCCACATATTTATTTTCCTGTCCTGCAGCTCTCATGTGGTACCCCAAGCTGCATGGCCCCACAAAGCTTCCTTTCTTATCCTCGCACCTTAGACATGTCATCAGACTTAAGGACCTAGTGCCAGCTGTGACTCCTTCCTGTACTCTCTCGAACAGAGGCCAGGATAGCTGCCTAGTCCCTCCACATCAGTGATTCCCAGAAACTCCTGCAGCTTCTAGGA